AACACAATCTGATCTGGCTTATATTACAGATGAAATAAAGGATTGAGAAATTAAAATCATTTAGGTGTGGATTCAACCACAGTGTATCCTAGTCTAAATCTCATACTTTATATACTAAGGTTAGAGCAGTCCAGAAAAGTTATTTTCTTGAACGCTAAATCAATTAAAGAGCACAGATAACACAGACCTTCTAATCATATCACAAGAAGTTGAGTTTTGTATACGTGTACAAGCGCTAAATTGTTGTGGACATTATATTCATATGCCATTTTCTTCTTCTTTGGATTTATTTTCTTGAATATAATCATTAGACCAATTATGTCTAAATCAGGAGATTTAAGCTCGTGAACAAGCCTAGGTCGCCTTAGAGTGAAAATAAGTTAGGCCCAGCTACACTGATAGACATATTCATATGAACCTGTCAACTGATGTGTAACACGATTCATTGTTAGTATATGGTGATTCATTCTTATTCTTATTCATTCTTACACATCAACTGATGTGCTGGAGTGCCTAATTTATTATTTTAAATAAAGTACTCAGTAAGATAACGTTTAAAATATTATTATCATATAATTCTTCTAGAGTATCAATGAAACACGATTCATTAATAATTATAACCCCCTCTTCCCCTTTGATATACATAACATTTTTTTTAATTTAGTATAAATCTATATCATTCTATACGAAATTACAAAATTAAATAAATCTATACCATTATATATATATATATATATATATGTTACCATATTTTACAACCCATACCAACAACACTTGGTTCACATGATATCAATTTACCTAGTAGTACATCCAAGATATTGATTTTTTTTCTTTTTCATTTCAATATCGGTCATTTATTATTTTTTCTTCATTTGAATTAACATTGAATCTAAACTATAGTAATATTAATTGGGACATTACTGTCAAAAAAGCAAAGAACCTATAAATAGAAATACCTGCACAATAAATTCCAACCTCTAACGGTACATACATGAAAAATGATCAAAAATGCACTATGCATGAAACGAAAGTGCACTATGCATGATCAAAACTGTTGTGAAACGAGATATGCAGAGTTTTACTATGCATGACAAGCTTTCATAACCAGCAAAGAAAACAAATTCCCATCCTACATGCACATGAAAAGTGCACTTCTTCCATAATCCACACATACTATGAAAGAAATTAAATCATACCCGGACAACTTGTACAACTATAGCGATCCTGGGTTTACCCTTGTTGTACAGTGATCCGGACATGTGTCCGTGGATGTTGGTAGTTGTTTATTATCTTGTTTGCATCCTTTTTACTTCGTATTGAGTTGTAGGATGTGTTGGGCCGGTGTGTTACAGGTTGGTTGTGTTTGGGAGCCTAGTGTTGCTGCCCAGATTTTTGGACCTTCGCTCGAGCGAGGAGTTGGTCGCTCGAGCGAGAGTTGAGTTTGTGTCTGGTGGGTCGAGCCAGAGTGGCTTCGCTCGAGCGAGCGCTTGCACCTGGTTCTGGACCTGAGAGTTGCGTTTCTTGGCTCGAGCAAGCTTTTCTTGGCTCGAGCGGTCTGGTTTGCTTTTCGCTCGAGCGAGCGGTCTGTCGCTCGAGCGTGCTTGTGGTTGCAGACTTGAGGGTTTGAGTTGTTGGCTCGAGCGAGCATTCTTTCGCTCGAGCGCACTTTTGAGTTTTTGGCTCGAGCAAGGGCTTCTTGGCTCGAGCGAGAGTTTTCTGTGTCTGGTCGCTCGAGCGACGAAGGCTTCGCTCGAGCGAGAGTGTTTTATATCAGCGGACAGTAGCGTTTTAAACATCACTTTTTCACCTTTTCTTTTTGATCAAACCCTAGATCCGAGACTCTCTCTCTCTACACTTATATTCTCTCTAAGAATTGATCTCCCTAGAGTGTGAATCTAACCTAGGGCCTTTGTTAAAAAGATAGAGGGCGTTGAGAGCTTTGTTTTAATCTGAAAAAGTTTGGATTTGGAGCACGTTGGTCTTCGAGTCTTCATCTCCTTTTTGGCTCAAACTTCGAGGTAGGGATATCCTACTCCTCTCTATGGATTTTGTCTTTAAATTTTAGTATTTTGAGATGTTGGGGTTGGTTTGGTAATTTTGTGAAAGTTGGGGCTTTTGTGCAATTTTACAAAAAATTGGGGTTTTTCTCATAATAAACCTAGATGCATGTTTGGCATAGAGAAATGGAATGAATGTTAAATCATTGATGAAAATGGGACCTAAGGGTTGAAATGTTAATTATGGGAATTGACCTAATTACATTGTTTAATTAATTGGGATAATTAATTGTGAGAATGAGGAAATGAAATGTTGATTGAATATCCATTGTGCATTTATTTTCTGATTAGAAATAACTGCTTTGGGCTATCGGTGGAGGATAGTCGAGATTGTTGTAGACAATGCATGATGATTAGGCAAACTTCAAAATTAATGACTTAACCAATGTGTTTCATTTCAGTTATTCCTAATCCACATGCAATGTCTACAACAATCACGACTATCCTCCACCGATAGCCCAAAGCAGTTATTTCTAAACAGAAAATAAATGCACAAAGGATATTCAATCAACATTTCACTTTCTCATTCCTCACAATTAATTATCCCAATTAATTAAACAATGTAATTAAGTCACAAACGCCTCCCAAGTACCACCAACACGAGCCTTCTCGTACTTCCACCATTTGTGGGTATAGCTTTTATGCTTATCTTGTGGATTTGTGGTTATACATATCTGTTGTAAAAATGTGGATATAGCTTATATGCTTATCTGTGAATGTGGATATTGTTGTTATACATATCTGATGAGAATGTGGATAGAACTTATATGTCTATCTGTTAAAAAAAAGGAAAATGAAAAGTAACTTCGACTTATAAGTCGTTTGACATCAATATATGATTTATGTGATTGTATCAGTGTTGGCCATCTATCAATTGCTAATGTTTTAGTCATTGTTCATGGTTGGTTTAGTGTATTTCTACTGGGCTGTGGCTCACCCTATATGGGAATATCATTTTCAGGTACAGGAAGCATGCCACCTCCAAGGACATAGCTTGGGAGGCTAGAGGCGGACATAATGTTGTCATTTTACTTTTTGATGTATTACATGTAAATACAAGCCAAGGGCTTAATGTGTATGAGTTAGTACTCCTTTTTGTGTAACAAGTGTTAATTTGGAAAGATGTAAGCCCGTAGGGCATTTTGCTTTTGTTGTTAACATGTAATACTTATGTAATAAGACTCTGAAGAAATGGAAGAATATGGTTATTTCATATGTTAATGAATCTCTTAATTGATGGGTTTAATGTTATTAATTTGAGGGCGTTACAACAACAGCCCCTTTTGTCGCAGGATCAGCAACAGTCCAACTTTTAACACCTTGAATGGGGCACATCCTCCTAATCTGAATGCCAATCTCATTAGCTCCTGGGGTCGCTAGCACACCTTTGAATGCATTGAATGTCTCAGTGATTGGAATGTGGAGCTTGTTCCCATTATTGTTGGCAACTCTTGTTGCTGTTGCTTTTCTAAATATTGGTCCCCGTACTCGGCTTGATGAAGATGCACCTACATATTTGATAATGTTATTAGTGTATTTACTAATGTAAAAATATAAACAATGGATACATTGAAGGTAGATGAAACATATTTAATTACCTGCGCCACTTGTTTGACTTTGAGGAGATGGTGCCTGCGTTTCAGACAGAGATGCTTCACAAATCTCAAATCCATGTGGTGTATTAGTTTGAGACGGCGTTGGTGCAATAGTCTTAGATCCTGACAACACATTAATTTGAGACAGAGATGGTCCAATAGGCTTAAATCCATCTGCTGCAAGACCTTCCGGATAAGGTGTACATGTATCGGTCGAGGATGAGTAGGGTTCAAGTAATGCCCTCTTCGGTGGTGGTAAACGGCGCATCTTCTTTGCAAGAGCCATTTTGTTACATTTTAACATAATCAAACGAGAAGTGCACAATAAGCACATAGATAAGCACAAATTGTTAATGTGAACACATACATATACGTCAACAGTAATAATTAACAAATAAAATAACTAAGAAATGAACATCCATGAAAATCTTAATTTCATACATATATATTAATCCATCTACATAAATTTGCAAGTGATATTGATGACATATTAAATTTTTTGGGTTTTTGATCGGCAAAAAGAAGACTTTATTGATGAAATATATGAATAAGTACATCAATAAAGAGGAGCATGGAGCTATAACAAGCTCCAACCTCCTAGTTGGTGAGAGACCAACACACAAAGCAAATAAAGCCAGGAAATCCAACAGTATTAGGCACTACAGCACTGCCATGAATAAAAACCAGATGAGGCACTACAGCAGCCCTTCCAAGCACCAAAACAGATCACCAAAACAGGACAGGCAGAGAAGACAACCACTGCCTTGAACTACAGCAGCCCTACATCCACTACAAGCACCAAGATTGTTTAAGCCAACACAGCAACAAAACAGATACACAGCCATGAGCAAAGCAAAACAAAACAGTCACCACAGATCAACACATCAGCAAAAACAGAACAAGAACTACAGACAGCCAGCCCTTCAGTTATGTACACTACAGCAGACAGATAGAACAGGCACTACAGCAGACACACAGCATAGAACACACTCTAAATCAAATGCAGCAGAATAGAACAACAACCAGAGCAGCAATTCACAAGTTAATATTAGACCAAACTCTCCAACTAAATAGACAGCACAACAGCAACATATATAGCAAAAAGTGTTGTAGTATGTCCTCAAACAGTATGTATTAAATACATCAAGGTTCTATGTCACGATTTATATAGTTAAACAATGTCAAATTCGTCTTCTTTTTGCTCATTATCGTCCTCAATGAAGTCATCTTCGTCAGTATCACAAATGAAAGCATCAACAACACCCTCGACTTGTGTTTGACTATGAGATTGTGAAACCATTGTATTTGGAATAATTTCACCTTCAATATCATCTCTACACAAAACCCCTTAATTGCCACCGCCTTCAACTTGCATACCGTTTCCGTTCACAATTGGTACAACCTCGGTGGTTTCATTTTGTTGGAACACACTATTTAGAGCATCATCAGGTAAACCATCCATCTCTGGCACATTCCATATTCCTCGATGGTGGAATCGTTCTACAACTTTCCAATTCCCACCTAATTTGGTATCATTAACGTAGAATACTTGTTCTACTTGAGCTGGGAATACAAAGGGATCATGTTCATACCATCGACTTTTCACATCGACACTTGTGACATGTGTATCCGTGAGACAAGTCTTCTTGCTACCGGTGTTATACCATTCACATTGGTACAAAACAACTCGATGTCTAAACAAATATGTCATTTCCCACACTTTCCTCAAGTAACCGTAGAAACGCATTGAATGACCCTCATGCTCCCCTTCTACAACCAGCCCACTATTTTGAGTTTTACGACAGTTATCACGATCGATGGTATGAAATCGAACACCATTAGAAATGCATCCCGAATATGTGTTGACTATTGCACTAGGACCATTGGCCAACGACCACAATTCATCCGTTGCTTCCGGCGACCCTTGATTCCGCAACTGATTTATCTACATAAGCAATACATGTTATGTTACTTTGTTCAAGTTGGTTATAGCATAATGTGCTCACATGTTGGATAGATAGGTATGTCTCACACGTTCTTTGAACCACTTAGGAAATTCATCCTGTTGCCTCTCTGTGGTGTCACATGTACTTCCATTTTGTAAAATGTTCTTGTGTTCCCTAATTAATAAGAATAGTAGATAAGTAAGACATATGATTACGAATAATCAGACAATACGCGTTATGGCGAATTTAACTTTTTTGAGGCCTGAAAACATACTGTAGATATTGTTCCACGTCAAAGCTATTGTATAAGACAAACCACTGAGCCATCTCTCGTTCGTGGAGAGGCACATCTGGTGCCCTATTGATTAGACCAAATGGACGAACTTTTTGAGAGAAGATGGCTAACCCCAAGCCGTGATCACCACCGTCATCATTCCTCTCTTCTCGATTAAGCACTGTTTCAAATCCATCAAGATACATCGAGCAGAAAGTTGTACACTCTTTGGAAATGTATGCCTCAGCAATTGATCCTTCAGGATGAGCTTTATTGGGAACAAATCCTTTTAGCATTCCAAGTAGCCTACAAGAGAAAAGTTTTTTTACTATGTCCATGCTACAATGCCAAAATATAGACTACCATTAAAGGTTGATGACAGTGATATGGTAAGAGCATAAATAATTACCGTTCAATTGGGTACATCCATCGATATTGCACTGGCCCTCCCAATATTGCCTCACGCGGCAAATGAACAACCAAGTGAACCATGACATCAAAGAAAGCTGGTGGAAAAATCTTCTCAAGCTTGCACAGTACAAATATGATTTGATCCTCTAGTTTCTGTAAATCTGTCACCTTCAACGTCTTTGAACACAGTTGTTGGAAGAAATTTCCTAACTCAAACAAAGTCGTACCAATGTCATTGTTAAGATACCCGCGCATCCCAACCGGAAGTAGTCAGTGTAGAAGCACATGACAATCATGACTTTTGAGTCCTGAGATTTTGCCACTGTCAGTATTCACGCAATTGGAGATGTTTGCTGCATAACCATCGAGATACTTGATTGATTTCAAAAAAGCACCAAAGCCTTGTCTTTCTTTCGTGGATAATGTGTACATAGCTGGAGGCTTCACAAATGACCCATCACCACGACTCTGTAGGTGTAACTCCTTCCGAATTTTTAAATTTGCTAAATCAATCCGTGCTTTTTCTGTGTCCTTGTTCTTCCCATCCACATTTAATAATGTCCCCCTCAAATTGTCACAAATGTTCTTCTCTATGTGCATGACATCAAGGTTGTGTCGAAGCTTAAGCGTCTTCCAGTAAGGCAATTCAAACATAATGCTTCTCTTTGCCCAATTCAACACTGGATTTTTGTCCCTTTGTCTTTTCCTGTTATTTGGATGTTTTCCAAACGGCTTGTATGTCCCAGTCTGAATTTGCTCTAATAATTGCTCCCCTGATAACTCTAACGGTCTGCACCTAACCTCACTTTGTCCGTTAAACAACTTGCTTATTCGCCATCTGTGGTTCTCGGGCAAGTAACGACGAGCACCCATATAAGTCCAACGGTCTGCACCTAACCTCACTTTGTCCGTTAAACAACTTGCTTATTCGCCATCTGTGGTTCTCGGGCAAGTAACGACGAGCACCCATGTACCCTATCTTACTTGTTAACCTTTGTGATGATGCGTCCTCATTACAAGTGGGACAAACCAAATAACCTTTAGTAGTCCACCCGGACATGTTACCATATGCAGGGAAGTCGTTGATGGTCCACATCAGTGCAGCATGCATTCTAAATGACTCTTCGTTTTTCGCATCATAAGTTCGCACCCCATCCCCCCATAACTCCTTCAACTCCTCAATCAATGGCCGTAAGTAAACATCGATATCTCTTCCAGGAGCCGATCGTCCAGGAATAAGCAATGACATCATGGAGAAAGGCTCTATCATACACTTCCATGGTGGGAGGTTGTAAGGCATTAGGATAACAAGCCACATACTATATGAAGTGTTCATATTTCCGAATGGATTGAAACCATCGGTGGTGAGCCCTAGCCTTACATTTCGTGGATCCATGGCGAACATAGGATGTTGCCGATCAAAGTCTTTCCATGCCTCAGCATCAGCTGGATGCCTCAAGATTCCATCATCCACACGTTTCTCCTTGTGCCATCTCATATCTGTAGCGGTCTTCTTGGACATATACAATCTCTTCAATCTTGGTGTCAATGGAAAGTACCTCAAAATCTTGTGAGGGATCTTCTTACCCTTTCCGTTGTCCAACTTGTATCTAGGCTCTTCACACCCCATCCCCCCATAACTCCTTCAACTCCTCAATCAATGGCCGTAAGTAAACATCGATATCTCTTCCAGGAGCCGATCATCCAGGAATAAGCAATGACATCATGGTGGGAGGTTGTAAGGCATTAGGATAACGGGCCACATACTGTATGATGTGCTCATATTTCCGAATGGATTAAAACCATCGGTGGCGAGCCCTAGCCTTACATTTCGTGGATCCATGCTGAACATAGGATGTTGCCGATCAAAGTCTTTCCATGCCTCAGCATCAGCTGGATGCCTCAAGATTCCATCATCCACACGTTTCTCCTTATGCCATCTCATATCTGTAGCGGTCTTTTTGGACATATATAATCTCTTCAATCTTGGTGTCAATGGAAAGTACCTCAAAATCTTGTGAGGGATCTTCTTACCCTTTCTGTTTTCCAACTTGTATCTAGGCTCTTCACACTTGGGGCAATTATCAAGATGTGCATGCTCCTTCCAAAATAGTGTACAATCATACCTACAAGCATGAATGGGAACGTAGCCCAAACCCAAGTCACGTAAGAATCTTTTCGCAGCATATATGGTCCATGGAACAGTCTCATCACACTCAGGTAGAGTGTCCTTGAAAACTTTCATAACCATATCAAATGACTTATTGCTCCACTTGTTGTACACCTTAATGTGAAGCATCTTAATAATAAATGACAACATTGTGAACCTTGTGCATTCCGGGTATAGTTTACGTTGAGCATCTTCAAATAACTTATCAAAGTTTCGCCCATCCACACTCTCAAAAGTAGCAGGTAATTCATCCCCTTCATCATCCATTGCAAAACCCCTACAAACCTCTTCCAACATAGTCGGCAAATCATCCCCGTCATCCAGATCTTCCCCTACAGTTTCACTATATATGTCATGGTGACCTGAATTCGGTATGTGAGGTTCAAACAAGGGAACAAGTTCCCCATGGTGCACCCAGGTCTTGTAAGAAAGGGATATCCCTCTTCGAATCAAATGAATCCTAACAACGTGGATCGTATGTTTTTTGTCGTTCAAGCAATCAATACATGGACACCGAAGCTTATCCTCCAAGCCTACATTTCTCATCGCAAATTCAATAAATGAATTCACCCCTTCTTGATACTCCCTACTACTTAATCTATTTTTTATTGTCATCCAACCCTTGTCTATTTGGGCCATCTGAAAGGTTAAAGACAACCATTACAATAATTAATCTACATAATATTACAGAAAGTGTTAGAAACTACAAAATGAAATTTCCTAACAGTAACGGGAAGGAGAGATTCAAAAAAATGAAAATAAAATAAACTAAATTAAGCAACCTACAAGCATGCAATGCTTGCAACATTAAGAATTGTTCAAATAGGGTTCTACAATTCCACACCAAATGAAACAACTTATGTTTCACTTATGAAACAAAGCAATCAAAAGAACAATGCTAACATGGATACCGTAACAAATATTCGTTAGCTAAATGATAAGCAAAAGAAAACTTTATTGATGAATACAACCAAAGTATGAAAAGATCCTTCAATAAAGAGGAGCTTGGAGCTAGCACAAGCTCCAAGCTTCAGTTGGTGAGAAACCAACAAACAAAGCGAAGCAACAGAACCAACAAACAAAACAGCCAATAGCCACTGTAGAGCACAATCAAACCAACTAACGCAGCCAAAAGTTGAAAATCAGCAGAGTAAAAGAGCTGATTCTACATACATGAACAACATTTGAGTTGTAAATAAATAAATTACACTATTAATTTGGAAAACATACAACATATCTCAGCAAGTTCATATAATTAGACTAAACACATTTAATGTATGTCGAGAATTTTGTTCAAGTAGGCCAACAAAAGCAGCCAGCTACACTCAATGGAAGACTAATTCCAAGAATATTGGCAGACTAACAGATCAGCAACACTATTAGAGACTAGCAGACTATTAGCAGGACTAACAGCTTCAACCCTCAGACCCTCTTTTTAACAGACTAGCAGTCGCAGCAATAATCTGAGTTTTTTTTTTTTATTTTATTTTATGGATCAACATAGCAGAGGAACACTACAGCAGGGGAAACAGATCAGCAGAACAGAATAGTGGAAGATTGGACTGCCACAATAGTGGAAGAGTTTGGCAAGAAAAATGGAGGTGAAGTAGAAGAAGAGGAAGAGGAGGAAGGAGGAGCTGGAAACACTGTAGAACAAACTACCAAGTGTTTCTTTGGAACAACACATTTTCCTTGTTGTGCCTTTGGAAAATGAGTCTATGACGATACCAATCTCTTTTTACACAAGTTTTTGTGTTTCTTTGGAACAACACATTGCTCAATAAATTTATATTTGAGTTCCTATTTGAATAGAGGCAAGAGGAGAGGAGTTTTTAGAATGGCCCAGGAAATGAAGGATGGAAGGAGAATTTAAAGGGAAGGTTGTGATCCATTCAGCACAGTCAAACATATACCAGTGGTGAAACTAGTATGAAGACTGTTTATTGTTTGAATAGTTTTGGGAATAATTCTTTCTCCCTTTTGTGCTCCAAGAGAAGTCATAAAATATAGAAAGATTCCACTTACCTTGGTCCGTTTTTTCCACACAGTTACAATCACAATACTATTTGTTCTCAATCCTCCTTGTGGCCTTCTATTTTTGCTAATTTTAGCAGATGTATCAATGTACTAGGATGTGCTACAATTTTGCCTTAGTTATTATTCAGAATAAATTATTTGTATTCCATCGCATAGTATACTCATATTTAGTAATGGGAAACTTATCTGGCATCAGAAAAGTGTAAAGAAAAATTAATGTGTGGTCTAGATATTTTTTATGTTTTGGTACTATAACTAGTCATAGTCTTTCTCCGACAAGAGTGATTACACAGAAATTAATGTGTGGCTCTAATTTTTCTGTGCTTTTGGTATATAACAGCAAGTAGTCTTTCTTCCACTGAAGTGAATAGAAAATTAATATGTAGTAAAGATTTTTTCTGTGTTTGTATATGTAAGCTAGTCAATAGTCTTTCTTCACCGAGAGTGATTCGATGTGCGGCCCCTACCGACTTGCAACGAAGTCGTTCTATTTTGTCTTGGGACTGATGTTCTTGCTATTTTGAGGCAAATAGGTACGTTTATAAATCGACTAGAGAAACAATTTCTTCACACATGACTGCAAATTTGGTACAACTGAGTGATGGTTGATGGGGAGGCCCCTACCAGAGTGTAATGCTGTTAGAGCTAAGTCTGCCAAATGAAAATGGAGTCAGCTTTTGTACTAGACAGTTCATTCTCAGAGAGTATGTCTTGGTTTGATGACTAGAAAATGATACATGAATATTTACCCCCCTTTCTTTTTACCTCCTACGTACGAACCATATGTATAAATATAGGACCTATCATATGTAAAAAATAATAAGATCCACTATTATTTTTTCAACAGATCATGCTAATGACAACTTATGGTCTTTCTTTAAGGGGAGGTAATACCAAAATAGTTAGAACACTAAAATTTTTAACTATTTTGATACATATTTAGCACGTATATCAAGACTAATACTAATCATTGGGTGATCATTAGCATATAAAACTTTGTAAATATGGTGTGTACATGGTGTTTGTTGTGCCGATCTGCATAATAGGCAAAAACCAAAAAAAAAAAAAAAAAAAAAACGAAAACAAAATAATCCAGTGATAAATCAAATCTAGGTCGAGGTAACATGTGTAGCATATTATAGGAAATATTGTGTAATAAGCAAGGAAGCTTGGAACTTCCATGCATCTTCTGGTGACTTAAAGTATTATGATTTTTTGACAGTATCTTCTGTTGGTAATGGTATTGGGGTCTGTAGGGGCCTGGAAGGGTTAGGCTCTTGTGTGGAAAGAGGCTCAGTGGACGGATAGGGAAGTGGACATAGAGACAAAGTTTGAATGGGGGAAACACTAAAAAAAAGTCTAACCTATCGACTAGATTGCCTTTGGAGTTTAGATCCCAGCACTGGGACAACCCTAAATGATGCTCTCTCTCTGTCTCTCTCTCTCTCTCTGTGTAATATTTTTTAATATGAGATAACTTTTTTGTGCCAAAACCTACTATTGTGGAAATCATTACCCCATTTGATTTTGTTTTTCGAGCACTTGATGAGCACCCATTTGAATTCAACAGCTAATTTTGAAAATTACATCATTAAAATTGTTTTTGTACTAATTACTTTAATGCTTCATATGTTGATTTTTCATCTCAACTATTTATTTAGTGTCCGTTCCAAATTATGGTGCTGGCTAATAGTTTTTCTTTCCTTTCTTTATTTTATATATTATGATTTATTATTATTTTTTACCCATGCAATCATTTCCTAAAAGTCACAGCTTCACAGCCGAAAAACTTATATGCTAATTATTTTGTAAGTGTACAAAACTCCCACTCACAATAGAGAGAGTTTACAAAGGTTAATAGGTAATATGCATATTAGTGTTTATCTTCATTACACTTAATTTGCTGGTATCATGTTTGTATCATTTTTTTTGAACTAAGAAATGAAGATCGACACATTAAATAAAAATAAAAAACAACCAATCAAGAGCACGAGATTATGAATGGCTATGAAAAATACAAATAAATAAATATGTCAAATCCGGTTCTGAGCATGACAGAATGGTATAAGTTGAACTCTTATTTATGAGGCGCCATAAATAATAACTATATATCTTGTCTAGATGACCCAAATGAGATGTTAAGTAACGGCTCATAATATATATATTAAATCTTGCTACAATTGTCTTCCAAAGCTCTTCATGAGACACATAACCCAACATTTTTCTGGGATCCAAAAGAGGGCTACATAATAATAATACTTTTGAAAATAATTGGCAAAGGTATCTCATACTTTTTATGTAGTTTTGTTTTGTGTTGTGATTTTTATGTTAGGGATGGAAATTGGATTTTGCTTTATAATTTTCGATAGTTATGATATCTTGCAGATATAAAATGGATGTTGGGATTTGTTGTTTGGTTGCCA